AAAAAAAAAAACAACGAGCATACATGTGAGTTTCACTGCATTTGCATTTGCTTTCAAGTCTATGAAGCTGATTAGCTGTTTCAGCAGCAACATGCATTCTTACCTGATATTCCTTTGGCTGATGTAGCTGCAGCTCTTGCTGCTTTTGCTGCCTCTGCCGCCTTGCGGGCAGCAAGGATGGCTTTCCTCATGTCCCACGCAGCTGCTGCTGCTGCTGCTGTCCGTGGGGCTACGGTTGACTCTTCATTGGTTGATTCTGCATTTTCTGCTGCCTCTTCAGGGACCTTGGCCTCATGTGTGCCTGTAGACTGGGGCCCCGAGGGCGCATCAGAAGAGCTGCGCCTCTGTAGTGACTGAGGCAGGGAGCCCCCAGCGGGGGCCACGTTTGCAGCTTGTGTTGTGTTTCCTTCTTCTGAATCCTCCTGAATTCCATCTGCCGCTTCAGTTTTTTTGCTACTCTCTAGTTCAGCCCAGGAGGAAGCGCCCATAGAGTTGGCTAGCAGCTGCTGCAAGGCCTCCTGTGGCGAGGCTTCCTGGTTTAGGGGGTTCCCTGGGATAGACTTAAAGTTTCCTTGAACAGAGGTGGGCAAATGAGGAGTTGGAGGCCTCCTCGGCAATACGGCAAGGATAGGCTCGTCGTCCTCTCCTGTTTTACTCCCTTTCTGACGCACCTGGGAGTTTTTCTTACCCAATTGAAAGTTCCCCCGGTGCGCCTTCTTGCGGCGTGCAGCAGAAGCTGCATTTGCGCTCGCCTGCTGTAGCAGATCTTCCAAAGCGCTACGAGAACCTTTTTGTGACAATATGGGGGCCTCCTCTACAGTCGGTGGGGGGCTCTCCGTTGACTCCTGAGGGGCATCACCCTTAGGAGGACTCCAGGCGGCAATACCCATAGAGCCAGCTGTATCCGAGAGCAGCTGCTGCAAGGCAGCCTGAGGAGTAGATGGCTCAGTTTCACTAGAAGCCCCCTTTGAGACAGAATCTCGTGATGAAGAAAATTTCGGCTGAGGGGAACCCCGAGGGGGTGGCTTTCTGGGTAAAACAGCTAAGATGGGGGCGTCTTCATCTTCGGAATCTTTTCCTGAGTTTTGGTCAAGATGATTCCATCTGCCTTTTTTCTTTTTCGTGGATTTTCCTTTCTTGTCCTTTCGGGCCCTCACTGGGAGTTTTGTTTCTGTCGGTCGAGTAAAGAGAGATACCTTCGATATCTGATTGAATACGTCATCCAACGACATGGGGGTTTCAATATCATCGTTGGTNAGAGAGATACCTTCGATATCTGATTGAATACGTCATCCAACGACATGGGGGTTTCAATATCATCGTTGGTCGTAGGGGCGACAGGAGTTCTTGCAGCTGGCACTGGATTCAGCTGGGGGGCCCTCCTACGCGGGTGCCGGCGTCGCCTCTCTCCTGAGCCCTTCGGGTTCGTGGCCTTTGCAGTTTCCGCCTGCACGACGGCTGCCTGTGCCAGCAGTTTCTCGAGTTCTGAACGAAACCCTTGCTCTTGCGGTGGCGACTCCTCGACAGGAGAGGTATCCGGCGTCGGCGAGGAGGAATTCTCAACAGAAACCTCGGCTTCACTAGGAAGGGTGGCACTGGAACCCTGAGACTGAACAGCAGCAACCGCTGCGGCAGGGGAACCGTCCTGATTCTCTTCCTCCCGCACGGTGTGGGCAGCCTGAGCTAGCAACTGATGCAGAGACCGCGAAGGATTCAATATCGCTGCTGCTGGTATTGCTGCTTTCGGCGATGATGGTGCTGACGATGCTGCAGGGCGGCCTTNTTCAATATCGCTGCTGCTGGTATTGCTGCTTTCGGCGATGATGGTGCTGACGATGCTGCAGGGCGGCCTTCTCCACGAGCATCTTGAGGTGGCTGCGCAGCTGAGGAGAAATCCAGGAGTGCCACCCCTACAGCAAGTAGCAGAAAATGCCTCATAGTTAAAGCGCACAGGGTTTAGGGTTTGGTAGCGAAACGTGGTGCTATTAGGGGCCCCAACCCCTTAGCCTAGGAACCCTTGGCTAGAAAGGTGAGGCAGGGGAGGGGCCCTCATGGGCAATCCCCGATTTCTCTTCGGCTATTCAGAATATAAATACCAAAACACAACCCCGTGTATACTCTAACAGAACTCGTGCTAAGGGCTGCAGCCCTTATGCTCGAAAGAGTTTCAGTGGGGAGCAGGGGCACAATCGGCCCCGCACCCGATTCTCCAAGATTAACGGCGAATGGAATGCTCTGCAGATGATAATAACAAGGCTCAATTACTCCTAATTAAGATTCGATATGCATTCTAAGCGCTATGGGGCTTTAAATTCAGAGTTTGCTGCAGAGCCCTGCAGGCTGCTCCTCGTCCCCCGGTCGACTCACACCCAGAACACTCCCGCGGGCGGAAACCTTGCTTGACCCCCATTCTTGAGAGCTAGATCGCGTTTCTTCCCTTCATAACTGTTGAACCTAGGAAAAAATGAGCGTTTCTTTGCTAGATATACTTCAAGAAAACAGATTTCGTTTCCCAAGACAGATGTATATAGGATATCGCAGCCTTCTTCCCTCACACTCTGTGGCATGGACTGTCTGAAGTTGGTACATATATTTATGCTTGCGTGCAGGCTGGCTACTTAGGGCAAAGTAGGTGTTAAGCAATTACTTAAACTGTTACTGCATGCTCCATAGGGTTGATGGTTATGCCTGCTNGCAAAGTAGGTGTTAAGCAATTACTTAAACTGTTACTGCATGCTCCATAGGGTTGATGGTTATGCCTGCTTGCCCGGTTGCCTCCCGGCAGGTGTTGCAATACGGCGTAATGTAACTCCTGACAGCCCGTATCCTCCCCCCAGCATCGCCATGCCCTTCTACCTCTGTGAAAAGGAAAGCTAGAAGTTGAAGGGGACGTTAGCTGCTATTGAGAACTCTTATCGTGAGTCTTTTGACTATCGCAACTTACGACTTACCCCTCTTCCGGTATCACGCAAACGCCCAGGCCCTTGTGGCGTTATGCCCAGGATGCTTTGATACTGGATGGGAGGTCAGCTGCCTTTTTGTAACGCATATGACTATATTATTATCAATATCATTGATTATTAAACTATTATGGAGTAGCCTGAGTCTATTGCAGTTCCCGATGAAGCACGATAACTCTCGATACACTTGGTAATGCTTCATAGTTCATCGGGGCAGACGCCGGCAGAGAACTACGCCCGCGCAACCGGCCTGTCTGGTGCATAGTACTACGAAGTGGTAAAAGTAATGTGGGGGAAAAGGCGAGAAACCTTTCAGTGGCACAGGCTGCACTTGATGGAAGAATATAACTGTCCTAATCCGCGGCAGCGGTGATAGCCAGCAGAAAGAAATCTGATCGGTCTCTACCTGTGTAGCTATAACCACATGTAAATTTGCTGCGGCTTCACGATTTCATGCAGACAGATTCGTTGCCTAGTTGGCAACTCGTTGTTATATATTGTTGGCCTTACAATAGTCATACAAACACATCGATGCTATCAACGACAGAGGAAACATTTCGGAAGTAGTTCCTTTGTCGAGCAGCTCTGTAAACCGGTTAGAATGTGAGGGGGCAAGCTTTATAGCAGCCGACTGTACAATACACCTCCTACAGAGCCACCGTAGCGAGAAGGACAGCGGTAGCACTGTCCGGCTTTTCGCGCTCTTTTGCTACGGCTGCACACTACAGGGATGGTGCTTTTCCAGGTTAAGGCTTAGGCGATCAAATGGAGTTGTCAGGGAGTTGATGAAATCTCAAGTCTGCGGCTGCACCGGCAAGCGCTTTGCAGTATGGCGTTGAGTCTGGTGTTCCCTTGTTTACATTATCTGGCAGTGATGCTTGACTTCTCCAGACTACGGTACTCCCTCACGTTTGCTTCTACCTTTTGTTACCCTACCTGCTGTTGTCCATATTCGTGCTGCTGCAACCGCCTAAAGCGGTTTTGCAAGAACCTAAAGCGTCTTGCCATACAGAAATTTCTGGTTTGGGAGTGGCAAAGGTACCATCCACTGGTATTGTATGTTGTACTATAGGGTCTTATTCAAGGCATACGTGCAGATTATCCTGGCGTTTTCTTCACTCTGCAAGTGCAGATTCTGCATCCACAAGAAGTGAAGCAGAAGCGAGTTTCCTCATACTTCCTCGGTTGCTGTTGTTCGCACTGCACTGCACTGTTACGTCAGTTTTACATTGTCGTCATTGTATCTGTTGCTGCTGTAACTAAGGCAACCAATACCAGTGCGCTATCTCTTGGGGTTGTGTAATATTTTCCCAGAGGTCCCGTCGCCGTGCTTATATGAAATCAGGCTTACAGGTGGACCCAAAGTTCGATGAGTCTGCTCGCTCTGCAGACAGAAACGCCTACGTGTATTTCTGCACAATTTACATTACAGTTCGTAAAAGCCTTTTTCGCCTAAATATTTCTGGTTAAGGTTGCATCTGCATCGACAAACGGGGCCCCGTGATGCTGGAAATTTCCATGCACGCCTGAATGCAAATTTCCACCATCACGGGTGCCCGTTTGCCGATAGACTACAACCTATACGTACGGGCAGAGCTCAATTCCTGCGCGTTTGTGAGTACGAAAAGGGCAAAACGGTTAGCTGCGCCAAGTGTAGAAGGGAAACTGCGGCAACTCTACGAACGAAAACAAACCAAACATCCGCCTTCGTATGTGCGTGCAGTGGAGCTAGTCTAGCTCCCTTGTTCCCCTTTCTGTGGCAACCCGTGATTTTTTTCTGTCCACCGAATCCTTGAAATCAGTAGGGTTGCGACTACTGTGGCGCCAGCAGAGTAGTTAAGATGAGCTACGTTAGACGTCGGATGCTTCTTTCACTGGACTGCCTTATAAAAGGCGAGGGCAAAAAGCGCTCAGCTTGTGCTTCGTCCAGAAAGGACTCGACGAGCCTCAGGTACTTTTCTTGTTCCACAACATTTCGCCTCCAGCAACATTCTTCTGCCTCTTTTCCGATGGGGCGCTCAACCCTTAGCTGATACAAGCCTTTTGCTGCTAGCCATGCGACTCTATGTGGATGGGTTATCAGACTGCCCCGTTGTTCATCCCTTNCAAGCCTTTTGCTGCTAGCCATGCGACTCTATGTGGATGGGTTATCAGACTGCCCCGTTGTTCATCCCTTAGCGTCGGTCTTATGGAGACTGGATAGCTCCCGTGGAATCTAATGCACATCGGTCCGTCCAAGGCAGCCATTGGAATATTTCTGAGTTGCTGCTGCGATATGCACCTCCCACTTTCCCAGTGATGCTGAGAAGTTTGGGCATTTATCATTCGCAAAGGCGCGCCACAGGGGCTACTCCAATCTCGCCATTTCACCGCTTTCACTTCTTGGATCTGATTGCTGTTGGCTTTTTCGCCCAACGGTCGCCATACTCTTCTCTTGCCAGATTCGTAAGTATTTATCATTGGCGAAGACGCACCACAGGGGTCACTCGAATCTCGCCATCTCACCGTTCTCCCTTCTTGGATCTGATTGCTGTTGGCTCTTCCGCCCATCGGTCGCCATACTCTTCTCTTGCCAGGTTCGTAAGTATTTATCATTCGCGAAGACGCACCACAGGGGTTACCCGAATATCGCTGTCTCAGGGCCGTCACTTCTTGGATCTGGTTGCTNACGCACCACAGGGGTTACCCGAATATCGCTGTCTCAGGGCCGTCACTTCTTGGATCTGGTTGCTGTTGACATTTCCACCTAACAGTCGCCCTGCCTGTTTCTTGCGAGGTTCGTAAGTAAGCAAAAACTGCAAGTCCTTATTGACCTCGCGATCCATGACACTTATAGGTCGCCCCGGAATGTTCTTATGATGCATGAAGCTGGGCTGACCATCGGTGAATAAATGATTCGAGTTCATCTGGGGACCTGAAGTCTGCCATGTGTGTTCTCCGCCCGCTGGGACTCCTTGGGAAGACAGGGCTGTTGACCTGCGTCAAAAACAGAGACAGAAACATATGCAGAAGTTTGCTTGGGTGTACGCTAAAACAGCGTGATAAATATGTGCCGGCGCATCTCTATTTAAACGCCTTTGTGGTGCCGGAATGGCTGAAAACTGCACAAAGTGGGTCTTACTGGTTGGGCTGTCGTCGCGGCAACCAGGTGCCTCCTGGCGTTTTCGCTGTCTGCCTCTCCATTGTTGGATGTATCCAGCCAAGTGCACTACGCTAGTCAAGAAGATCTGGCCGAGAAAATTCCAGGAATCGAAGCGGAATGCGTCTGCGCTTATTTTACTGCGATGACACCAAAGAGCTAGTCAGCTGACTGGCGTAGAGGTACGATAAAGAAGTAGGCTGTCAACCGCTATGCTGTATACTTCGAGATGTGTAAAGCAAAGAGCATCGATGTTCATGGATTCGCCATGAAATAAGTATGGAATTCAGAATGACTGTTCAGTTTTACCTACTCGGGATAGTCGATGTAAAGCTGCAAGAGACAGGTAGCTGTTACGGGTGCGAGGGCGAGTGTCCAGCTGTCCGGTCCAGGCGACCGAACTGCTGCCTGCTCCGATGAACGCCGTACACCGAGTGGTGAGTGCTGCGCGGCAGTCTTTTGACGCACATTTGCCTCAACTAAAACCTCCTACAATCTACAATCTGAGTTTCAATGTTATTTACGAGGTAGTTTTCATTGCCATGGTTAATTCAAATCCACGGGCTTGAACCTCACTCGCCTGCACGCTGGTCCGCACGTCCGGTTGCAGCGACATGTCGAGGGGTCTCCACGACCCGTAAAGCGATATCCATGAGAATTCGTTAATACGTGTTGCCTATGATTTGGATATTAACTTTGATTACAGGAAACTTTGCGCGAAAACGTTTCCACAGGAGACATGCTCGCGAGACACTCCAGGAGGTCACTCGTCGATCACGCAGTCTACACGCTTCGCAGCCTGCGACCTGCGCTGTGATAGGAGATATCTGTTGAGCACTGAATAGCAGTATTAGCCTTTTCTCCTTGCAAATTCACGCTCTAGTATTTCTGGAAGCAAAATTCATTCACTAGACCGGTAAACTCACCTGTTTACGTTTGCATTAGCATCGAGGCCTTGACAAAAGGCGGCAGCGCAGGCACGGTAGTAGATACGAAGCACGCTCCGCCAAAGAATCGAAAAAACCATTCGGTTAGGGGTATTAGTCATTTGAGACAACATCAGGGCGGCATATATTCCGAGATTCATCACCCAACAACTTCGTCGCAGCCACAGCTATGCAGAGTCTGAGGAGTTCATGGCGGTACGTGAGCCGCTGCAAAACCAACATCGCGCCTTCTGGCTCACTCGGAAACTACCGTCTTCCCGCTGCACGCCAAGGGTTTCGTGCCCGATCTAGAATGTGCATCTGACTCCTGCACCGGCGAAGGCATCTTCCCAGTTGTATCTGCATGTATGCACGGTAACTACGCGCGCTTATGAGTTTCCTTCGTCTATCTGTGGACTTCGTGAAACCTCCGAATAGAGCTGCTCGAAACTCATGCATTCAACTAAAAAAGGAACAAAAATTGAGTTTGCATGCGGAAACTGCACTCATTTGGCTTCCGCCTGTGAGATGAATTATCCCCACATCACTAGTCAAAGAGACAAGGCCAGCTCGCTCATGAACAATCAGAGGCTTGCGCATACTCAAACCTTCCAAGAGGCAGCTCTGGCTAAGCCTACACCTATCCGATTCTTAGTAGATAAAATAGTCCCGTTTCGGACGTAAGGAACCGTTTCTCTCTTATTGGGCGGGCCCACCGTATTGCAGGTGAAGATGCAAAGCGGTTGATACGACAGCCACTGTCAGTGTCCAATGCTGAGAAATGCGGACAGGAAATGCATACAGGCGGCGTGCGTCTGGTATACGTTTGAAAGCAGANTCCAATGCTGAGAAATGCGGACAGGAAATGCATACAGGCGGCGTGCGTCTGGTATACGTTTGAAAGCAGAGTTGCCTAGGCGCCAAACCCCGCGGGGAGATATTGAACTAACCGAACTAGTTGAATATGCTTGATGGCATCCCAATATATTAGGCTGAGACTTCCAGCATAGACGCGGCTGGCTACCTTCTATAGACGGCGGGCTCACACTGCGGTAGATCAAAACGATACAGATCGCTTGTAGGTGGTGTTCAGAAGTCGTCCCATGAGATGCTCTGGCGATACTGTAGCTGCAGCACCAGCAGCCAAAGGTGCGAGCATCTTGATGCGTAGAGAATTTCAAACTTGCGTACAAGGATACATAATTAGGGAGAGCTAGCGGCACTTCGTAGTTAGTTGGGATTAGTTGCGGGGCCACCAGCCATATAGTCAAACACTTCCACCCCAGGAAGGTTAGCATGCGAGCGAGGAAGTGTGGACAGCCTGGGTCTTAAGCAAGCGGCCGGTGAACGGT